AAGCATTTTTTTTGTTTACACAAGATAGAGATGAAGTGTATTTATCAGTCAAGCTTTCAGTACGTTTATATCTAAGTGTACACAGAAAGCTATGGTTATGATATCCTCCTTATCAACCTCTCGTATGTTCAAAGTAAAACAAATAAACTAAGAGGACAGAATGGAATAAATAATTTAAGGATATAAACTGGGGGAAAAAAAGACTGTGAGGAAATAAGGGAAGTTCATGCCTAATCAGTCGAGTGGTTTCAAGATGTGAAATGACTGACCAACTGATCGCAGCACCATTGGTAAACATCAATATCAGGTGAAGCAGCCTGGGAATAATCTTGCTAATGAAGATATATTCGTTCAGCCTAGATGACCAATACTCACCTATTCGGTAACTGATCAAAATTTTCCAGCTAATTTTTATCTTTGTGTCGATTCTGCTACAGCCTTGTATCCTTATGTCACTTAGAGGTGTAACAGATTGACCTGATAACATATTATGCCAGTCAGTTAGTCACATATCTAAATTTTTATAGAAATAAGTAGTTTGTTTCCATTTCTCCAATAGACAATAGTGTCTCCATTGGCTCAGGAAATCTTATCATTCTCAAATAAAATGTATTACAAGTAGATTCAGAAAAAGGGAGTAGTCTTGGGCAAACCTTGAACATTTAATGACAAAGGTTAGTTTAAAACAAAGTTTTTTCAGTCAGTCTTCATCACATTTAGTATTTGTATTTCAAAATCTACGAATGATGGCACTGTAGAGGACAATAAACTCAGGAGTTAGAGAAACTTTAAATGTTAGACTAATGAGGTGTGGACTGTTTGGGTTACTTAGAGACCATATAAATATAAAATACTTTTTTATAGCCAGTGTGCCACTTCATTCTTACTGATGACAAAACCGTAAGCTTCCTGATGATATTACAGTTAAGGAAAAGTCTCATAAATGTAAATGGATTGGTAGTGGATAACCAAATAACAGTAACTTCAAAATACACGTTGTGATTGTGGGCATCGGACACATTGTGCATTCTCTAATAACATAACAGCAGACGAAGAAGGAACACACCCCATGTTTGTGGAAACCCGTCCGACAGCTGCTGCCTTGACGAGGTGGTCAGATTTACATATCACAATGACCCAAAGAACTACACTAGCTGGAACGCCTGTCGCTTGAGTCCATAACGTACCAGAAAGATCATTTGAGTAGTGGGAAGACAAAAAGTAGCAAACCTCATCATGTAGACGGCCATGTTACGATAGGGACCCCAGAGTGAAGTCATATTAGTGACCACACAAAATATGACATGGTTGAGGTGTTTTCTATGGATGACCAGCAGTAGGATCCTGATATTGTCTCCCCTATGGGAAGGACAGGGGGTTAGAAAAAATTAATTCTCCAAAAAGCACATCCCACCCTGCTGTGGCATTTCGATGCTGATGATATGAGTTTTCCTTGCCTGATGTCAGGACAATCAAATTTAAACTCAAAAACCCTAGAAATAACATATGTGCCCAGCCTGTTATCTGTCCCATGGGCGCCACGGTCACGAAAATCTTTTCTTTTTTCTCCTTCATGTGCTCTTATGAGACAACTTCCGTGGTGTATACAGCCGGGAAGTAATAAACCCCTGCAGGCTTGCAGCAGTATTCGAAATCCATTCGGCCATAACCTAGCCTGCTTTCTTCTGTCTCCTCCCTTACCTTCAATTCCTAATATCAATATTAAACATCCTAAAACTTCCTCACCTTCTCACCTTGTGACTATTGCTGGCGATCCAAGCTTCTGAAGCACCATTCCTAGCTTCCTATAACCCTGCTGTAAATTTCACATAGGATCTTTCGGCTTTCAAACCCTATGCCAAATCGTACAACAGATACATGCTGTGTTCCTGAGGCACGTTGATAGGACCCCATGTTACTTAATCAAATTCATCTGATCAATCTGGTGAACCTTCAAAAATGATTTTAGGAGTGTACGGAGATTTACTTGCTAGATTTCGGTGACTCACTGTGGTAGGAATAGGATTGAATTGTAGAATAGCAAGCTGACTCCTGGAAAGGACGCCATCTGTGTGCTGTTCAACCTAACGGATCTGTAAGAAGTAGGAAAGGTTATGAGACTTGCCGATGCCTGTTCATAATCTTCATCTACACCGTCACCGACTTGAGTTCGGGCGATGCCAAGGATGGATTTTATAAACTGTCGATTTCCTTGCAAAAGGCAAAACGTCAAGACTTAGTAATAATAGCAGGTAACTCCAACCCTCGAGTAGGAAAGCTGAGCCAATCAGAAAGGCATCCTAGAAGCATAAATGGAATATCATGCTAACCAACCAACAACGACGACAGTCTGCTGCAATTTTTTGGGCTTGTTTCCGACCACCATGGATTCTAAACATAATGAGAAAAATCGCCTCATATGGTGTCCACTGAAGTCAAGCCAACGATGAACAAAGATAGCTCATGTTGCTAAAAGGTAACATTAAAAAGGATCAGTGGAGGTTTGCCACTCTTTCTGGACCACGTACTGGGATTCTTGTCACGCGTTAGTACGGACAAGTGTGTATTCGCAGAACAGATAGCTGAGCACTTATGTGAACATGGCAGCACTTCTCTTACTGATGTAGTCTTTTGTAGAAAAAGTAGCAAAGACAGTTATCAACCTTCATTCAAAGGTTATCAACAGCCGAGGGACTTCCTAAACTTCACCTGAACTGATGGATGCGCGAAGACTCATTGCGGCTACCACTAATTACATTGAAGAGCTCAAACGTAACTTGTCTAAGAGTCTCAATAATGACATTGCGTAGTGGTGGGTTACGAAAAATACGGAGAAAGTATCAGCATTAGGTAGTACTTACTAATTATTTAGGATTATTAAGGGTGCTCGTCAGAATAAGATGATAGTGAAGCTATCACTGAAAACGATGGGATCCTGATAACTTCTCAAGACTGGTGTCTAGAATGCCGGACAGAGCACTTGTAATATCAGTTCGACCGGTCTACAGTGATCCCGCTTCATATTGACATTTATTAAAGCTGAGTAGTTCTTCAACTGCCTAACTGTAGTGTCGACAGGGTTCCGTTGGAAACCACCCACTCAAGATCACAAGAACCAGAGAAATAAACTACTATTGAACAAGTTGAGTGGTCAGAAACTACTCAGACTGATCTGTAGATTGCACTTGTAAAAGATTACACCATTTACTTGCAAAATACTGAGCATTGTGTTCAAAAAGGAATCATGGTACCAGTGTACTGTGGAGTATGTAGATTTTCTCTTTGTATTGTAGCAACTTTATTTTGTATATAAATTGTAACTTTTTGCATGAGCTATTGATAGTTATGTATCCTTTTAACATATAAAAGTAACTTGCTCAATTTAATGCCTATTGTTCATCCCTATTTTCATATATCTCCTCTTAATTTAGGGATATGATATAATTTACTGTTTATGCGTAGACAAGTCAATTCATGAGTCTAGCTGAAAGTAACGAATACTTGAACGTTAATACTTTTCTAAAATAGGCTTGAATCATGTGTCAAAGGAAGAAGGATACATCTCTTTTAGTCTTTATGCATAAATTGTCTTAAAACTGTTATACATGAGTATCTTGCACTTAGACTGACATGTGAAACTTAAACCTGTCGATTATTTTAAAATGTAGCTTTTTATTTATGTTGGTAAGAACGAATTAATGATGATCGACTATACAGATATAATTGAAATGTTCTGCCTATCATTGATACTCAATAAACCTGTTTTGCTGATAACATGACACTTGAATCCCTAATAAGGAAGGTAGTGAGTAGACTTTTCTATATTCAATCAGTTCATGATATTCATCAGTATTGAGATGAGATCTTATTTACAGTGATTGTTGATTATCCTATTATCAGGTATTCTGTGAGAAACGCTACTTCAGTTTAGACATTTGGAGAGGATTTCGCTGATTTCAACATGATGTTCATCCAGAGACATTCGGGTTCCGTGGAGAGGAGGTTACGGTTGAGGCACCGGGTCGAACTCGAGGGCGGGTACTCGAGACGGTATTAGAAGGCCACACTATATCCCGAATCGACAGGAGTTGGAAAATATGGAACACTGTATTTTGATCCAGCAGCTAAATTGTAAACGTGCTTGCCGCGGGAATTGAAGGTCCTGGGTTCGATGCATGGTGGTTATGGATGCACAATGCTGAGGAATCTCATACTGGGACGAAACAGGTGTCAAGTGCTCCCACATTTTCAGTGGGAAACAAGTAAGGAACCTAAACAGTTTGATATCATCTTATTTGATTGAAAGCTTTTTCTAACGCGATCAAAATGATTTGAATATTGGAAAAGAGTTACCCACACTTAGGAATCACTCCATCAGCTGTGAATTTAGACATACAGATCTCAAAGAAAGAAGTGAATGAGAAGACATAAATCCAACTGGATGACAGGGGAGAGATATTATACCGTAAACTGAAAGAACAGTTCATCAAATCCTTGCAAATAACCTGTTCCCCATTAACATTTAACATGGCTGAGAAGTTTTTCAAACCCTTATTTGCTGTATATAACGTAGTCTAAAAAATACTCTGCAATTTGGTGGTACTTATGGAGCAGATTTGTTTTCATGTATTTTAAATTCAATCAAAACAAAATACTAGGGAGGAGGTCCTAACCAGTTTGCGGCCAGTATTTCCAATATGAACTCTAATCTCCCTAAAACTTCAATAGAGAAATGTTGCTGAATTCGTAAAAGCTGGATAGTTTCTGCATTTTTAGACTACAGGTAGTAAAAATGACTGGCGAATAGTGAACATATAGTTATCAGGATGATGAAATACTGAAAATTGAGTATATTCCAAGAGAGGAGATGTTGTTGTTCATTAGGTTAGAAAAAATGAACATTAGGAAATATGACATCGTAATTAGATTCATCAAAGGTACATTAAGTTAGGCATAACTGAAAAACAATCCAAATGTAAGATATGATAAAGATGACTTACCAGCACTGACAGTGATTGCTTCAATGAATTGCTCCTTCCAGGATGATGTGCCAACGACTAATGACCATTTACCTTGCTTCACTAATCTGTCAACTGTATGCTGAAAAATAAAAATCCCCCGAAAATTACATTCAGTAAATTATACGTCTGTTGATTCAACTAAATGCTATTCAAAACCGTAGGTCTTTCTTATTTCTGAACTTGTTTTCAAATTGTTTGGCAGCCAATATTTTAACAAGTTTTTAAGTATCTTCCTTATCAGGTATCCTAACTTCCTATCTAACATATGTGCCAGTATGATAAGTGCTTAGTGTTTTCCAAGCAACAAGACTTATTTTAAGACGTCTCAGCATTACGTTAGCTGATTTAATTAACACTCACTTCATGAAGTGAAGCATTTTCGAACTGTATTAATGTTTATCAAGAATATTTGCTTGCCTTGAGTGTTATTGGCTTGTAAGTGAGGGTGACTTTCTTCTCCTTTTTATCAGAGACTGATGTTGATAACTATTGTTATCATTTTACCTATCCTGTTGACCTAATATAGGATTATTGATCTACCTGATTAATTTCCATTAGACTGATTGCTTCACAGCAGTTAGCATGTTCAGTCAGCGTCCACACATCTGTTGACTGCCATTTGATCAGAGTACTAAACTTGCAGGAATGTTCCTGTGGTTATTTAGCACATTTATTATATTAGTTCCAAGTTATCCCAATTAAAATTGTGGTTGTGCTCATCTACATGCATCGGTATCACCGATTACATATCACGCCATTTGACTGCTAGTTTACGTTTATAAATTCTTGGGGTTCTTCGACGACTGAATTGGTGAACATAGTAATCTTGACAGTCTTTGCAACTAATGTTGTAAGTTATGTTCTTTTTTTTAAGCAATAGATTCTTCAGCTTGCATGATATGTATCGAAGGGGTCTGTTTGGTGGTGGAGCGTCCAAGGACAAACCTGAAATCTTAGAGAACACTAAACCACTATCATAACCGTGCTGAGCTACAAATCTTATCGACTATCTTAGATGTCATTGTGGGAAGAGTGGTGAGGACTAGCCATTTGGAAACAGCATTTAATCTTTGGTTTGCAAAGAGAATCAGTATTCTACCTGGTTCTATGTTTAAATAAATGTTTCTGTTTTATTGAAGAAAAACGGATTGAATATCTGAGATGGAGCGTTACTAGTTTATATTAAGGTGTTCTACTAGTCAGTAGATAAATCGTCTACGTGAGATGTTTGAGTAGTATACACAAAAGAAAATGTCACTACAACAGGCTAATAATTTAGATACACGAAACAACAATATTGACAAGGTATGGTAAATACTTTCGATCAACATAATTTCATATTCCTTATGATTTTTATTCACCTTGCTAAGTGGATAACTGTGTTATTGTACACAACAATAAATCACTGGGGGTTTTCACTAAACATTAATGAATGTTTACACATTTCTATTACATTATTTATTTCGTTTTTTGTTTATCCTTGTTTTATGCACATCTTTTGAATACAAAATAAATGACTATTAGTGAACTATTGGTATTTGACAAACAGTATATTGGAGTTATTGTCATTATCGTAGGGGAAAATAAATTGTTGTTATTCCTATTATAGGCTAGTTATTACTAGAAATAACAACGATAATAGTTATGATAAATTCCAGTGAACACGAAACAACAATCAAGTCAAAACAAATTGCTACTGAATAAAAGACAGTAGGTACTAGAGTTTTTTAGTTTTTCTTTCGCTTAGGAAGAAAATTGGCTTATTTCATTGCTTTTTTATACATTGTTCAGTGTTATACTGGAATATACTATACATTAAATTTGATAGTTTTCCTTAGACAAAAGTTTCGTCTTATTTGCCAGTTTAGTTCATCCCAGTAAAACATTGACCAAGTGACTTGAGTATTAAGCTTTCAAACTTTGGTTGACGGATTAAAAACCTATAATTTCACCTTTAACCCAGATAGGTGGATAGCGTCATGATCACTGAGATGAACACCCATACACGTATGCGCCTAGACACAATTTTTTTGTGTAAATAGAAACCATTACACATACTGAAATCTCCACGGTCATGTATGCACCTAATAAGCCAATAAGATTTAAATACCAGTGTCCTCATTTCCCAGATTACATCAATGTGGATTAAACTATACTCTTGACGATTTATCTGGTGACCATTTTTCAAATAAAATTTAAAAGAAGTCATTCGTATAATAAAAAGCAAACTAATGAGCCGCAAACTTTGTCTTGTCATAAGGGAAAGATGAACTAGTTTTGTTTGGATAACCTAAAGACTGATAGGAGTATAAAACAATTTTAGAGATTATTGTAATAAATTATACTCTAGTGTATTGTTTAAAGTTTATCAGAGAGTTTTCATCCTGAAAAGTCTGCTTAGATAGTAACTACTCATATATATATATAAACAAGTACAAGTGTCATATCTGAAAAATGACGCAAATTTCAGTTAAAATTAATAAATATATTATTTGCACGAAAAAGAAAAAAACGATTAAGAAATAACTGGTAGGGTGATTACTTCCAAAAAAGGATAGGAACAATCAGTAGATCAGTGGAAATGCAGTATAGTCAATAGGCTAACTGCTAGTGTGGTAAGTTTGAATTAGTGCACGTAAAATTTGCAATAAATGTTTTGCTGATTCCATTCCTACATTTAATTGCTGTCTTTAAAAGTGATGTTGGTGACTATGAATGCGATTCGTAGATGTACCGAAAGTTGCCCAATATCTACATGTCAATAAAACTTACCCTTAAGTTTCAACTAGTGAAACATGTAAACTGAAAAGATTCTAATGCCTGACTGTCTGGTAGCCTAATACCTAAAATACTTTGCCAAGCTAATTCTCTTCGTTAATAATCATGAAGTGATAGTTATATGTTTATTAAAGTTTAGTTAGAGTGCATGGAGAAATACTTGAACAAAAAGTGTATTCTTTTATGATAACCAATCACACAAGAATAAATATACGCATAAAACTTTAATCCATATTAAATACCTGTAAATCCCTAGCTTAAGGGAAACAGCTGATTTATGTACAAATGGATTTCAGATGTTTTGTACACCAGAAAGAAAACATCTAACACCTAACTACTGAAAGTTTAATAGATAGATATTTCTAACCAAGCATGCCATCTCTAAGATTTAGAAGCTAATTACCACTCAATATCAAAGAAATAATGAACATAAGTTGAAAGCTGAAAGTCTAAGATGTTACTGAATGCCTTCTGATCATTGATCATCGCTTGAAGGGCACTGAGATGTTAAGAGGTACACCATGACCACATGGACTGTAAACTCATGGCAGCTGAATGTTGAAACATATTATGGTGAATAAATGGTGTATCGGCTTTGATTTACATTCTGTTTCTCTTTTTCTCTCTTTACTGACCTTATTTCTGTGCAACGTAGCGAAATGTACTAATGTGTCAATAAAAAGAAATCGTAAGCTGTATTCCTCGGATTGTTGTGTAAAAGTAACTGAGAAAAACAGAATGACTAAGAATATGATGGTATTTCAGTAACGCATAAATTTCTTTTTAAGCAAGGTCACAAATACATTTATTTCACTGCATAATAAACTTTCATATTCTACATAGTGTTCGATTAGTAAGGCTAAGTTATAAGCGTATCAGTTAGAAATGTGTACTTCAAGCGTCACTCATACTTATGCAAAAACATCACTGAAGTGACCAGATCTTTCAAAGAAAACTCGCTTTTTACTTTGAATTCCTTATTGAGTAAACTCTTTAAATTCCTTTCGCTTAAATATTGTGATCAAAGGTTGAGTGAAGTAAATCAATGTATACCTCTTGATTTGTTTTCATCAGCACTGAAAAGCTCTCACATGATTTCAGCAACAAAGTTCGTCTTCTCCTTTAACTTTCATTGACCTTTAACCATTTTAGTTAAAGTAATATTACAGGAAACAATTCATATAGTTGTACTTACAACATTAATATGAGTTACCCTAGTAGGTACTTTGATCATGACCACTGCAGCTCACGGTTTCTAAGTCCTTAGTTCTAATTGATGTAGATCAAACAAGTTCTATTCTCTATAGAGATCAGTTATCACGCAGATTACTTAGTGGTAATTTCGCTAAAAAAATCATTGAGTGGAACAGATTTGAACAGCTGAGTAAACATGAGTTTCCTTATAATGCATACGTACCTTGTTGATGAGTGCAGCCAATAAGGAAAGACGTCTAGTACACTAAAAACCATACTAAAACCAATTTAGTCACCTAGTTCACAGGGCTTTAGGATTTAAAGCAACTGGTACTCGGCTGCAGTATTGATAGGAACAACATAGTCCACTGGAAGGCAGATACATCCAGCTGATGAGTTCAAAATAGCATGTGGTGGTTTCTACTGATAGCCGTTATCAATCACTGGTATGGAAATTAAAAATACTAGCAATATCGAGGCATCCGCAAAGGAGTCCATACGCAAATACTGGCCGATCAGCTGGAGAACCACAAGCTATGACATTGAAACATTACTGGAGAACGGTGATTTAGTCCCCTTCAACCCCACAAAGTAAGCCGTTTACTATTCCTAAAGCTTTAATTACCAACTGACTCACTATTTACGCTCAGAGAGACAGTTAGTTCTTTCATCGAGATCATCACTCCGATCCATAAGAATCTTCCTTCAAAGTCATTCATTAAGTCAAATCAAACATTTGGAAGAGAGTGCAGATTCGCCAAACGAACATAACAGAAGCCTTGGTAATTCGTGATTTTAATTCCGATTTCTTCTTTCGCAAGAAGTAAGTTCAGAATCTCTCTAAAACCTTTTATTTACTCGTTATTTTTAAGATAGTATTCCCCACGAACTGATGTCAACTGGAGAACTATTGAAAACCTGGAAGCACTGCTAATTTTTATTCATCAACATTATGGTTTTCACACATTTTCCTTCCTTCGTAATTCTTGATTTCAGTAGGACTGTTCTGCTTTTCTTACCTATTGTATCACTTTATAGATTATTAAGTGGTAACCCTGTAGTGATTTTCTATTGACTTTATGCTATTACTTAGTGATCCTATCAAAC